GAGCGTCCGGTCACTCTTTTTCAGCAGATCTTCAAAGTTCCTTCGTGTTGCCTATTCCCAATCAAGTCCCAACTTCAATAAGATCCAAATAAACACCAATTGGGACTGATGTGAGTGACCTCTCTCAAACCCTCAAATTTTTCAAAGTATTTTGCCTTAGGCTATAATTCTTTTTAAGAAAATAGGCAATAAAAGGGTGATTGAAGAGAAATGACAAAACAACATTCATGCATATGCAATGCAATACTTGAAAGTAATTCTAGTTGCTTGTCAAGTTTGATCCAAGGTTAAGCTTCTTCACATGCTTTTCGGTGGTTATCTTAACCATGTTAGACAAGCCCTAAATGCATTATCAAAAATTAAACATGTTGTATATTACAATGCAATGCAAGGGACAACACAAGCTCACTTTCTAGTGAAGTTGCTAAAATCAAGCACATTGAGCTCATTCCTCAACCGACAAAATGTTGCCTCATCTAGCGGTTTAGTGAAGATATCCGCCAATTGATCCTCGGTCCTTACACCTTCTAATGAAATATCATTCTTAGCAATATGATCTCTAAGAAAGTGATGGCGGATATCTATGTGCTTGGTGCAAGAGTGTTGAACCGGATTATTTGTAAGTTTTACCGCACTTTCATTATCGCACAAAAGAGGTACTTTTTCTAGAACTACACCATAGTTTAGCAAAGTTTGTTTCATATAAAGTATTTGTGCACAACAAGCACCCACGACAATGTATTCCGCTTTGGCGGTGGACAAAGCCACACTATTTTGTTTCTTGGAGGACCAAGACACAAGTGATCTACCAAGCAAATGGCACCCTCTGGATGTGCATTTTCTATCAACTTTGCAACCGGCATAATCCGAATCCGAATAGTCAACTAATTCAAATATAGCTCCTTTGGGATACCAAAGGCCAATGCTTGGTGTGTGCTTAAGATACCTAAGGATTCTTTTAACGGCAATCAAATGAGTTTCCTTAGGATTAGCTTGAAACCTAGCACACATAATCACACTAAACATGATGTTAGGCCTAGATGCGGTTAAATATAACAAGCTACCAATCATAGAGCGGTAGAGAGTTTGATCAATCGTGTTACCTCCCTCATCTAGGTCGAGATGTCCATTAGTTGGCATTGGTGTCTTAATTGGCTTACATTCATCCATCTTGAATCTCTTGATAAGATCATTTGTATATTTCTCTTGAGAGATGAAAATCCCTTCTCTCATTTGCTTGACTTGAAAACCAAGAAAGAATGTAAGATCTCCAATCATTGATATCTCGAACTCCTTCGACATCAATTCACCAAACTCTTTGTAAGAATCTTCATTTGATGATCCAAAGATGATATCATCAATATACACTTAACAAATGAAGATAGATCCATCAAGCTTCTTGATGAATAGTATGGTGTCGACCTTCCCAATGGTAAAACCCTTCTCAATGAGGAAGTCCCGAAGGCGCTCATACCAAGCTCTTGGGGCTTGCTTAAGCCCATATAACACCTTGGACAACCTAAAAGCTCTAGTTTGGTTTTGATTAATTGATGAAACCCTAAGTGCTAACCTAGTTTATCAAAGTGATTATGAGATAGGTATCACTACTCCAAGTGATGAAGCAATGGTGAAGATCATGACGACCGTGATGGCATGGTGATGATCAAATGCTTAAACTTGGAAAAGAAGAAAGAGAAAAACAAAAGGCTCAAGGCAAAGGTATAAATTGTAGGAGCTATTTTGTTTTAGTGATCGAGACACTTAGCGAGTGTGATCACATTTAGAATTGATAGCCGTACTATTAAGAGGAGTGAAACTCGTATCGAAATGCGGTTGTCAAAGTGCCACTAGATGCTCTAACTCATCGCATATGCATTTAGGATCTAGTGGAATGCTAACACCCTTGAAAACGTTTGTGAAAATATGCTAACACATGTGCACAAGGTGATACACTTGGTGGTTGCACATTTGATCAAGGGTGGTGAAGTTTAGGTGCAAGGGTAAGAAACTCCACCGGCGGAGTGTCCGCCCGTAGAGTGCGGATAGTCTGACGGTGCCACTGGCGCCCTAGACAGAAAAGACGGAGGTCACCAGCAGTGACTGGACGCTGGGTCGCTCTGCGACCGGACGCTGGCAGGGTGCGTCCGATCAGTGCTGACGTATGCTGACGTGGAGCACACAGAGGAGACACTATGTGACCAGATGCTGGCTGTGTCTGGTCGGGAAAAATCATGTTTGGAACCTTACTGGAAACGACCGGATGCTGAGGTCCAGCGTCCGGCCACTTTCTAACTGACACGTCCGGTCAAGAGATGACCGTTGAAATCTGACGAACAGCATTTGAAGTACGGGACACGTGGCGTGTATCACGTGACTGGACGCTGAGGGCCAGCGTCCGGTCGATCGGACCGGAGCGTTCGGTCAACCCGTGTTGCGCCCAGTGAAGGGGTACAACGGTTCTATTTTGTGGGGGCTTCTATTTAAGCCCCATGGCTGGCTCAAGCTTACTCTCTTGGCCATTTTCATTGACATAGCAACCTTGTGAGCTTAGCCAAAGCCCTCCCACTCATCTCCATCATTGATCCATCATCATTGTGAGATTGGGAGAGAATCCAAGTGCATTGCTTAAGTGATTGCATCTAGAGGCACTTGGTATTCGTGTTTCGCTACGGGTTTTGCTTGTTACTCTTGGTGGTTGCCACCACCTAGACGGCTTGGTGCAGTTGTGGAGGATCAGCATGAGTTGGTGATTGTTTGTGGCCGTCTCCGGTGATTGTGAGGTGAGTTGTACCTTTCCCGGCGGAGTGCCGAAATGTAACTTTAGTAAATTGCTCATGTCATTGAGTTACCTCACTTGTGGGTAGGTTCTTGCGGTGTCCAATCGTGTGGACGAGGTTTGTGAAACACCTCTTAGCCGCTGAACCACCAAGTGTTGGTCGACACAACGGGGACTAGTGTAGCAGAACCGCCTAATCTAATGCCTCACAGGAGTGCTTGTCTTCCATTAGACACTAAGCACTCAAGGGAGAACACTAAATTACTCGGTTCCGTCGGGCACACCACAGGGGAGAACCCGAAAATCCACATTTTTGCCATCAGGATCACAAATGAGAGAACAAAGCTTACATCATTCTTAACCATTTCATACATCCCATTTAGTACAACATCAGAGTATAATAGTTATTGTATAACAACGGAATGTAATCATATTATCAGAGTTATAAATAATTTAATGTACATCAGAATTTAAACATGTGATCAGAATTATAGCGGAAATAAACATCTATTAATGATATGATGAAGTATTGATATATAAACTACTACAACAGATTATGAAACTTTCATTTATAAAAACATTTGGTGAGAGTTATAAATAAAAACTACGATCGCAATGTAAAGGAATCCTCGCTGAGCCCACCAGGAGGAATCCACACACAAGGGTCACTCTAGCATCAACTCACACCGCAATAGGGGAATAAAACCACAGTACTCAATTGTACTCAAAGAAGACTTACCCGACAGGAGGAAAGAAAAGACTCCAAGGATATGCAAGGCTATTTGGCTTGTGGGTTGCATCAAGAGGAAGCATTACTAAGCGTGCGTCCCTTATATTCTATTTTTTATTAATAGCCGCATTGGTTCATTAACTAACCATTCTATGTAAGCACATGTGCTACTTTCAAGCGGTGTGTAAGCAATCGATTTCCTTTTCCATCTTTCATCTTTCATCTTCGCTCTTACTACGATGCTAAACCGTAGACAAGCCGTACCGGATAGCCCAGCGATTCATGAATCAATGCCCCCAGCTGGGTACCCCGAAACACACGCCCCGCTTGTACCCCAGGCACAAGCAGGACCAACCCATCACTCTCCTGTCCCGGGTGTCCAGGTCCCCATCCAAACTGGGACTCCAAGCCCCCGCCCCTGAGTCCCAGACTCAGTGCGGTGCAAGGACCTCCTCCACCAAAACAAACCCTAACAGTCGGTCCGGAAAGAGCCGGATCCGCGACAAGAGAGCAACAAGTCTTCCAAGCGCCCATACACAAGTATGTGCTCGGGATAATAAGTCTGTGACCTGCCTAGAGTCATATGCAACGATCGGTCCTTAACCACACAGACAGGGGAAAAATAGTGTAACCAAGCTATGCCCCGTGTCCACGGCGACACAACTCCTTACACTCACCAATACCCAAACCATATCCCTGCCCGGTCACCATTTTTCTTTCCACCATTTTGATATTTTCCAAGTGATAATCATATAGTAACATATTTCCTGTATCTCGCGAGTGACAGACAATCACTCGACTTCTACCGGAGTCCTGTAGCATAGCAATCTACACGATCCTGTCATACTAGTAAGACTCATAGGATAAAGATATATATGCAAGTGGGCTTCATTCAACTCCTTGAAACTTAATGCACAAATATAATTTAAACTGCAGAAAAGTAGAGGTTATGCACCGGGGCTTGCCTTGGTAAAATATAACCAAAAGTTAGCATTCCATCTTCGTGATATGATCACCATAGCATCATCTTTCAGCTACTCCAATTGATACCATCGATCCACCATCGTTCCTATTATGATATGTATTGATGCAAATGCATAGATGTAAATAATCAACGACAGCCGAAATTCTTAGAAATCCAATCACGCTTCCAAAAGTACCATTTCTCCAGCAACTCCCGATGACTCCACAATCCATCGACGTCCCTCCGTCGACGTCGAACTCGCGGTACTCGGCAAACAGACACAATTAAATATTCACATAAATTCAACTACGTTCCAAAAATTATGAAACTTTATGGATAGGTGGGGTTCGATTTTAGATGAATTTAGGAAGAAGAAGTGATGGAATCAGAGTTAGCATAGTAGAGATATTAATTGTGCAAGGTGGCCGTAATTTTAATCACGTGGAAAAAGACTAATGCGTGATTAGGGAATATTCATTGCTCTTCACGTGGTTGTTTGGCATGGTTCTTTTGCATGTGCTGTTGCTCAGGGCCCACGCGTCATACACATGCATGGGATGGGAGAGAGAAAGCTAAGAGCGTTCTTCTTGCCTCATGCGTGAACGCCAAGGCCGAGCTCGTGGGGCTTGTGGGCAACTCGGGTTGGAAGGAGAGGTGCAAGGAGAAGGTCACGGGAAAGAGAGGAGAGCGAGGTGATGCTCATGAGCCGCACACCTCACCCCATGCGAGTAAAGGTCAACTCGACCTGCATGCAGCTTGCTTGCAGACAGAGCAAGGAAGTTAAGAGAGTGAGAAGAGAGCTGGAGCTATGGAGAGCGGAGGCTCACCTTCCGGACTATGTGGGCTCGCATTATATAGGCCACGAAGAGAAGTCAGCTAGGTTTGAACAACTAATTGCTTGCATTGATAGTCCCCAGCTCCCACACCACTTGCTTATGTGTGTGGCGTCTCGCTCATGCATCACATTCTTTTCCTAATAACACGTCATAGACTTGACTTTGGGGACAGACTAATTAATCCATGGGAGACTTTGGTGCTTGAGCTAGTACACTATAGCGGGGAGGCATGACTTAGTTTGTAGGTGCATACCAAGGATAGTCAAGAGCTGCTAGAAGTCATGGAAGTCATGGTTCTCTGTGGACGCAGTTGTTTTCTTCGTGCTACCGTGCTTTCCACCGCGCTACATGATGATTTTCGCGACGCTACAGATGTTTCACTGCGGTGGTGGTGTACCCGACATGCAAGTCGTGCCACCTCTGATGAAGCGTGTTTGATTTCGGTGATGGACTTGAGTGGTATTTCGACGTGTCAACTGGGCTAGTTGATTCATGATAGACTTGGACTCGAGTGCGTTCTTGTCGTGCCAACGGTCTTGATCAACAATAAAGAGTGTATGCGTGCTAATTAAATTAAGAAGGAGAAGGAGAAGATCATTCGCAGACTAGCTCAAGACGAACAAGCAAGGAGACGTAAAGCGGGCTCGGTTACTTTTTAAACACAATGGCAGGGCGGCTTGGCCAGGCCAACGTGGTTTATGTATGCGTGCTTGCTTAACACGGACAAAGACCGCGCCGACACAGAGACAAGCAAGGCAGGCAATCGAGAAACAGAGACAAACAAAGTGAGGGAGGAAAAACAAGGAGCGGCTCGGCAAATGTAGACAAAAGTAATCAAGTCAAAGAAACAAACAAAGCAAAAGCCGAGAGCATGGATGCGAGATGGATGAGGAGACTTTGCAATGCAAATAATTGCGTGGCCACGATGAGAACGAGACAAGAATCAAAAAGTAATGCCGAGCAAGTACGCTGCATGTCGGAAAAATAAACGGAAGTTTATGCGCTTCTTTCTCGTCGATTCATGCTTAACAAAATAAACCCGTGAGTTTATATATATATATGTATCGTTCTATTTATTAATGGATTTTATTTTATTTATAAAAGTTGATTTTCATGCTTAATCTAACAGACAAACCGTTCTCTAGAATCGCCGTAAATCCGGACATTCCTCGAATATTTCTACGCCTTCGCGTAATTTATCTTGAGCGTTTATTTGAGTCCACGAAACTAAGTCACATGGGATTCACTTATCGCCTCAAGTACGTTTAAATTAAAACCCAATAAAACTCGATTCGGAAATTTTTCTTAGGCCTAAATCGGTGGTGCTAAGCTAAACAAGTTCAGAACACTAAGGGTGTTACAACCAACCCCTTAAAAAAGAATCTCATCCCGAGATTCAAGCAAGAACCGTAAGATGGGAAAACGCGCTCACATTTCGTAGAGATCGTGGATTACACGAAAGATTACACGACTTCAATACTAAACCACACGAGGATCTAGGGATACATGGTTAAGAGCAACCTGGTACAACCAAGACTTAATCCGTAAGTCGAGATAGACGAGGGCAATGGAGAAACAACAAGATAATGATTATCCAAAACATGGCGTAGCACCAACAGATCCAAAAAACGATGACCGAGAGAAGTTAAACATCGCGAAGTCTAAGATCGAGCTATCCAAAGGTAGACTTGAACTTCTCCAAAACTGGGATCCCTTCTTCTCTTGAGGTTACACCATCACCTCGGATCGATGAACCTAGCTTCACAAGGTCAATCGGATTTCGTAGCTCTGCTTCCGTAAGCGAGAGAATGGGGTTGAAGAAGAAGAGCAAGGACCAAGGGTATCTTATAGTGGCGAACGGAGGTGGGCGCAAATCACTTTGGCAATGGAGGCGGAGTGGATGGGATACACAGACGGTTCATCTTTGTGAAGATAAGCTCGGACATGGTGCGCTTCTGCCATGCGAAGCAAAAGGGGAAATAAAGAGAGGAGAGGGGGTCCGCTTGAGGAGAAAAGCGTCAAGGGTCGGTCGTGTCACCAAAAGAAGAGAGAAAGGAGAGGGAAGGGGAAATGAGGGGGTCCGGTATAGGAAACGACGGTGCGAGGTAGAGAGCCGACCGGACGCCAGGAAAAGGAAAAGTGCACAGTGCACAAGGACGGCGAAAAGTGGCACAATGTCATGCCCACGTGAGAAAGGGAAGCTAAAGGGCCGACACACGATGATGGCGCTCAGAGGGCATGCAATGAAATAACTCTCGGCATACATAGCGTGGTCAACTAAACATAGGGCTTGGGACATGACATCCACTCGTGCTTTTACAAGCACTCCCTACTACTCGACCACGTCCGCTTTTCATGTAGACTAAGACCATGTCATACGCTCTTCCTCCAAAACCACCTCCTCTTGCTTACTTTGAGAGAACACTAATTCATCGACCGTTGTGGATTTCTGTTTAAACACCCTAACATTTTCAAGAAAATTATTTGTAGCAAAAGTGGTATGGTGGTGTAACTTAGTAAAAGTACTTGGTTAACAACCTCGATACCAAATACAGGTAGCGTGTCAAATAATACCATGTGGCAAATGTTCCACGAAAGCCCTTAGTTTCATCATCGGCACCATAAGCTTTTAACCAGCAACTATTACCAACTTACATGCCATGAAGGCGGTGGGGTCATAGACCACAGATTAAGGGGAGTATTGCAAGGAAAAATTTAAACAACAAAGGTTCCTCCTCCCTCCACAACAAGGATAAGGAATACAAATCCAACGACGGATTTGTTTTAAAGAGATTCAAGTGTTTTGCTGGGACATCCACAATTAGTCGATACAGTGTCCTATGTTCATGGCTAATCTGCTGGCATCTGAATGTCAACTTCTCTTGCAACCCGCTTAATTTCGCCCATGAAAACTCTTAAGCACACCTAACGAACTTAAGGTAGATGAACGCAATAAACACAGTGAACTAAATAAAATGCATGTTCCAACGGTCTTATATGGGTACATCATATAGGCATTCAGGCTCCCATTCACGATACAACATTCACCTTCCCTACTGCCGAACGATCTCAATAACTACGGACGAACAACAACGGCACGAACACAATACCGGAGGACAGCAATGAAAAACACTACTACTACGGGTACAGCATCCCAAGGCCACTAATCTACATCTTCTCATGGCAATGGCTGAGTGAGAGGAATTAAGGGCTCTGCTTCTGACACTTCTGAGGGTGGAGGTGCTGGCGGCACTGCCACATCGGTTCTCCTTCCTTCAGGCGAGTGGATAGGGATCCCTTCCAAGATCGAGGCATCCTGTCTTTCAGTAGCCAGCGTCCTTCGCTTGGCCCTAGTGACAAGATAGGCCTCACGCGCACCGATGGACATGCCGGGTCTCTTCACCTCCTTCGAGCTTCCGACATGGCGGTCTCCTCGGCTCTCGCAGCCTACAAGACTGCATGCGCTTCAAATGAGCTGCACCTCGAGCATCCGGGTGAAGATCTCGGCCTCCTCGGCTCGACCGAGGCGTGATCCTCGGTTCAAGGCTTGCTTGGTCGTCTTCGCTCATCCAGAGCGGCGGTGTATGTGGTCAAGTGCACCATGGTAGGACTGTCCTCTTGCGCATCCCGCCCTTGCAAGGCCTCCATGCGAGCCCTCTATGCCCGCCGATTCCTATCCAAAGGTGGAAAGAACCGCATGGGGGTATGAGCAATGGGCTCCTCATAGATCTGGCAGAGGTACCGTAAGGCTTTGCGGGCCCACAACCCGGGTAGGTGTCGGTGAAGCGAAACCCGGTTGCGGTCACACCTGTGCTTCAAAGTGAGGTCGGGAACTCCTCACTCTTCCCGATGTAGATGGTAACCTCACACCGCTCGGTGCCATGCTCCTCATACTCACGGCCCTCATACTCGGGACGATCTTTGACTTCGAGCTTTTGTAGGGTGGTATGCAGGATTTTAGGAAAACCCTCAACGTTCAAGCAGTAACTACTAACCCAGGCTCCTGCCATTTCTAGCGGTGGTGGTGAGAAAGGCTGAGCAAAAAGCTAGCTCAAAGGAAAAGCTAAGCGAGCTAAAGTGCGCCGAGTGGTGATACTAAGGCTAACACAGGCTCTGCTTATAAAGGCGGAGCGCTCAGTGGTCCTGGCGCGGTTCACCAGGGTTCCCGCGCGAGATCACTATGACGAATCGACCAAATTCCGCGCATTCGAGACGAGCGACGTCCGAGGCCATTACTGACTAGTACGACTATAGGGCAAGGGTCCGACAAGAGCACATAAAAGGGGTACGGGGAGACGTGGGTCACGACAGGCGTGAAACCACGGGCGAACACAGAACACAAAACCACAGTGCAGACCTAACTATGGAACATGAACGAGTCAGTCGTGACACCTATGGAGGGTGTATCTACAAGCAATATGAGCGCTACAATGCACAAACAGGATATGCATGAATGCACGTCCTATACGTCCTTTCACTGTTGTCAGCATATAGGGCAACCGTTCTCAGATTTTTGGCACATCGTTCTCTCCTTATAGCTAGTCGATACTATCGGACTATGCTTGAGTTAGTGTACCTGCAGAAACTTGATTAACCCTATCTAAGTCAGCAGAGTGCCATCTATCCTGGATACATAACCATAGTAATAGGGCTACTTATATAACTTCGCATGTAAACGTCCTAACTTTTTGCAAAAACAGGTTGTCAAATTTTAGCTTAGAAAAGGATTTGAAAGCTTTATTTCCTCATTTATGCTCTGATACCACCTGTAGCAGAACCGCCTAATCTAATGCCTCATGGGAGTGCTTGTCTTCCATTAGACACTAAGCACTCAAGGGAGAACACTAAATTACTCGGTTCCGTCGGGCACACCCCAGGGGAGAACCCAAAAATCCACATTTTTGCCATCAGGATCACAAATGAGAGAACAAAGCTTACATCATTCTTA